GCCCAGGACCCCATCCAACCTGGCCTTGAACACCTCCAGGGACGGGGCATCCACAGCCTCTCTGGGAAGCCTGTGCCAGCACCTCACCATTCTTTCTGTAAAGAACTTCCCCCTGACATCCAACCTAAATCTTCCCTCCTTCAGCTTAAAAGCATTTCCCCTTAAAACCTTTTCTCCATAAAACCATTTCCCCTTAAACCATTTCCCTTTGTCCTGCTATTATCTACCTTTTCAAAGAGTTGATTCCTCTCCTCTTTGTAGGCTCCCTTTAGGTACTGAAAGGCTGAAATGAGGTCACCCCACAGCCTTCTTTTCTCCAGGCTGAACAAGCCCAGCTCCCTCAGCCTGTCTTCTTCTAGGGGAGGTGTTCCAGCCTCCTGCTCATCTTTGTGGCTCTCCTCTGAACCCTCTCCAACAGCTCTCTGTCTTTCTTGTACTGGGGGCTCCAGACCTGGACACAGTACTCCAGATATGGCCTCACAAGAGCAGAGTAGAGAAGGACAATCACCTCCTTATCCCTGCTGGCCACCCCTCTTCTGATGGAGCCCAGGATACCATTTGTTTTCTCAAGCTGCAAGGGCATGCTTATCTTAGAATCTGGTAGCTAACAAATCTGGCTGACCAGGGACTACTCATTAGCTTTTGGCTGCATCAGGTTGATGTGTTTCCATTTAAATTAGAATGTTTTCCTTCTGGTATAGCTTTACTCACAAGTCACAGAATGAAAATACCCTCTAGGTTTCCTAAAACTCATGGAAAAAAGGTCGGTTGCAACTCATATCCCTGTTCCTACTCTGTGTGACTGTAGAAATACATGAAGCAAAAAGTATCTCCAAGCTTTGTCCTAAACTTAATTTATTGCTATTTATCTGGTCAAACACATTTGCTAGTCCTGAATTGCCTTGTTCTACACATCCTGTCAGGGGAAGAATTAACCTCTGAGGTATTTCACAGACTGACAGATACACGTGTGAAAACAGGATCCCAGTTAGACAATGCTTCCAGACACCCTAGGCACCTTCCCCACCATCCAATGATCACCATGCATGGGTCAGGCAGATCTCATCTAACAGGCAACACTTCCTATTCCACCCTCCAATGAAGGATTTCCACTACTGTGGGGAAAGTGTCACATGTCTTACCTTACCTCCATTGGAGGTCAGTGCCAGGTTACTATGTTAGCAAACTGACCACCTCTTTCACTGTTACACCTTCTCCCAGGTACTCAAAATGAGACTGTTAGCATCAATAATAAGTATAGAGGGAACTGTGTTTCTCAGAAATGAACCTGTGCCACTGGCTTTTCTTCAGCAAGCATGTATGAAGCATTACAAATCTTACCATGAAGTGCTGGTGTCACTTTTCAAAGGACAAATCTCATGAAGTGCAAAACTTGGGATTGAGGAGAAGACTTCTGGCTACGTTTTCTTGGAATCTAGTTGTTCTCGAAATAGAAAGGAAAAGGGAGAGGTTTGCACGCCCAGGTATGTTTTTATTCAGCAGCAATAGTTTAGATCAATAAATTCAGGTCATAAAATACATATGTCTACAAAGCCCACTCACATTCATCACACCTTACTGAAATACTAATAGTCTGAAAAGTTCAACTCTGCAAATTTTCTGTACACAAAGATGAAAATATTATTTTGTGCATGTTCAATGGGTACTTCATTGGAGTGTTTCTGAATTCACCCCTGCACTCTTCTGCTTTATTGATCTGAAATATACAGAAGTGATGACACTTCTACTTGCTTTTTTCTTCATCTGAACCAGCTTTGCCTGTGTCTAGCCAATTTAAATGGGGCACTCTCACATACACTCTGCTCGTTCCACGGATTGAGGCTGTTTCTTTAAGTTTTGAATGCAAATTAAGTAACTTAAACAAGGTTAAAGCATCAAGAATATATTTGCTTTTCTGGCAAATCATGTGACATCTTCTCTTTATTAACAAGTAAAAATAGCTGTATAAGCCATCCGATGGGTTCCCTTGAAAGTACTGTGGTGACACTATTAAAGCAATGGCAATTTCAACTTCTCATTAAATTAAAAGAAAAAAAAAAACAAAAGAAAAAACTTTGCAGACCATTTTGTCCCTAAAATAACTGAACTGAAACCACAGGAATTATATTATCTGTTGAACTCAATCTTGTTATACTTCTTTCAGTCACTTAGAACATGGTTTTTACTTAGTGTTGGTATTTCTGAGGTTATGACATGTCATTTGCTGGTGTCAGAAAAAATGCATCTTAGAAAAGCAAACAGACACATCCTTCATTCTTTTCTGTTTCACATAGCTGTCCCTCTTCCTTCCTTCCATGCTTTCTCTATACATCAAACATTTCTCAAATCTGTCAGTTTGCAGGGTTCCCCACTGAGAGTATATGCTTTCAGCATGTGCTGGAAGTGAAATAAACGGGACAAACGGTGTGCTTAGAAGTAAGAATACACCTCTCAGTATACAAAGCTATGACCATAAACTCTGTGAAAAAGTTTTCTACTTTTTTCTATGACAATAGTATTTGATTCAATATGCTCTAACTTGCCTTAAAAGAAAACAGAACCCTGGCTATGAGTTCCTCTTACTTGTTCTAGATGACCCTATGGCTGTTTTTATACACTCATCTTGTGGCTTCTTCCTCTCACTTTTGCTAGCAAAGAAAACTCCACTGGGATAATTCTGTCTCCATATGTTTCTTCTGCTCAATAGCCAGAGAAGGCTTATAGTTTGTTTGCTTTTGGAAAACAAACAAAAAAGAGACCTGCTTTAATTTTGGTTTGAACATATACCATGATAGATTGCAAAAAGCGAACTGACCAAAATAGGAATTTTACATATTGATTTGCTGTAATTGGAAACCTCCTAAATGTTGCATTCTAGTGGAACACATAAAAAGATAAAAGGAATGGCTCTGCTTGGAGCCAAGTTGTTGGGTGGGCTAAATTCTTTCCATTTTCAAAACAAATCAATTTGCCACCTGTTCTCTCCTTTTCAAGTGTTATGAGGGAGGCAAAGCTCTTTTCCTTCTACCCAGTTTTCCTCTATAAACTGTTCGTATTTTATAGGTTCTTCAAATTAAATGTTTATTTTTGTTCTGGATGTTTCAGAAGCAATAAAATTCTCTATTAATTTAGATGTGACTTTAAAGTATCACCTTTGTCAACTTGTATGATTTGCTATTTGTTTCTGTTTTCTCTTTCTTTTAGAATAAATGTTTATCAGAAAGATGCATCTGCTGAATCTGAATGAACTGACAGAAGGAAATGCTGACATTTGAGCCAGGCTTCCCAAACTCTGTAACCACAAATGCAAAACCTTGTTTGTGGTGATGGGCTCATTGGTAGAGATGAGAAGATACCGCTTGTGTTTAATCAGTTCTAAGAATGGAACAGAACAGAACCCTAGAACCATTAAGGCTGGAGAAGATCACTAATATCATCTAGTCCAACCAACAGTCAATCTGCACCATGCCCACTGACCACATCCCTCAGTGCCACATTTACACGGTTCTTGAACACCTCCACAGACAGTGACTCCACCACATCCCTGTGCAGCCTGTTCCAGCGCCTCACCACTATTTCTGAGAAGAAATTCTTCCTAATACCCAACCTGAACTTCCCCTGGTGCAATCCAAGGACATTATTTCTCATCCTATTGCTGTTACCTGGGAGAAGAGGCCAACTTCCACCTCGCTATTACCTCCTTTCAGCTTGTTGTTCTTGTATCGTGAAGTGAAACTTAAAAAATAGTAGCAAAAGGAAGAACTGATCCATTAAATAAGCTTCAGCACTCCTTGAAATGAAAATAAAATGTTCATGAGTACTTATAACATGGAAAGGAACAGCAAACATGGCTTCTTGAAGGACAAATAAAGTCAAACTAACCCAACTTCTTTCTGTGATGACGGAACAGACCAGTAGATTGGCTGCTCACTGTGTACATCAATTTACAAAAGCTTTTGATACTGATGTGCCATTTTCCCAGGAACCCATGTTTCACCTGAAGTATTCCAAAGAACTCACGAAACAGATGACAACTGATTAGGGTTAGTTCTGGCTCACATGTGAACTGGAGGAATGGTTCAACATCCCTATCAGCAATAAGGACGACCAGCCATAATTCGTGGTCATTACACCTGCAGGCCCACTCAGGTTTAAGTGATTAAATGGGAGGACTGAGCTGGATAATGATCCCACGAAACTCTCAAGTCAAGTGAGACACAGGTGTCAGCTTTGGAAGCATATACTGGGAGTTCAGTGACGAGAGGAGAATGGGGGTGGTTTACTCCAGGGAAGAAATGTGTCATAGTAGCCTCAAGAGGCCCACAGAATTATTAGTAAAGAGGCAAGGAATGGACCCTTTTCTGTATTCACAGGAATGAGATGAAAATTTCAGCCCTGCAGGTTTAAGTCGTTCACTGATTACATTCTCCAGAAGGACAGAAAGTCTCAGTTGTGAAGGTTTGAACAGGCAATGCCACTTCAGGATGGTACAGATGCAGTTGGAGCTGCCTTGGCTATAAGGATGGAGAGAACAACTTCTCATTTTTGTATGGACATTCTCATACCTTTCCAGTGGTATTTTTATGAAATCATTTGTGGAAAACCTTGAATCAACAATGTATTAATATGAACACAAGTGATTCTACTCACTTCAGTTAAGTTATCCATGTCCAAAAACAGTGGCACCAGTAGAGTAATTAGTGAATGTCAGTGGCAGTTGAATAAATCACCACCTGCAGCTGTCCATGCTTCAATGTGTTTTTTATCTGTTGATTTTCAGGGAGTCAAAGGGGTGGAATTACAGGATCACAGAACTGCAGCACAGCTGAGGCTGGCAGGACTTCTGGGTCCCTCTGCTCCAGCCTTGTAGGGACACCCAGAGCAGGGTGCCCAGGGCCATGTCCAGGCAGCTCTGGGAGATCCCCAAGGTGGAGACCCCACAGCCTCCGTGCAGCCTGTGCCAGTGCTCTGCCAATGCACAGCACAGAAGGGCTGCTGGTGTTTAGAGGGAACCTCCTGTGCTCCAGTTTGTGCCCATGGCCTCTGGTTCTGGCACCGGGCACCACTGACAGAGCCTGGCTGTAGCCTCTTGGCACCTTTCCTTCAGACACTTATGGGCACTGATGACATCCCCCTGTGTGTCCTCTTCTCCAGCCGAGCAGCCCTGGCTCTCTCAGCCCTTCCTCATAGCAGGAGTACTCCTGGCACTTGCCATTTCGGTGTCCTTCTCTTGAACACTCTTCAGTACATCCATGCATTTCTTGTCTGAGGGACCCAGAACACCAAGTGCATCCTCACCAGTGTTGACTAGAAGGGAAAGATTGTCTCTCTTCAATGACAGAATCATCGAATCATCAAGGTTGGAAAAAACCTCCAAAATCATCAATCCAACCGTCCACCTACCACCAGTATTTCCCCACTAAGCCATGTCCCTCAGTACGACATCTACATGTTTTTTGAACGCCTCCAGGGAGGGTGACTCCACCATTGGGCAGCCCATTCCAACATCTAACCACACCTTTGAAGAAGAAATTTTTCCTAACGTCCAATCTGAATCTCTCCTGGCACAACTTGAGGCCGTAAACATGCAACCTGGTGTTAACACTTTTCCTAATGCACCTGATAATACTGAATGAGAAACACATCAACCTCCTGCTAGATATCTCTGAATAAAGTCAGTAGAACCACAAAGCAAGTAGAAGATGCTAACACCTGTGAAAAAATACTGAGAAGGGGAAATAAAATGAGAAGAAGGCAATGAAGTGGCAGGTGGATTGTCCCTCCATACCTCTGCTGGTCCATCACTAAAATGCTTTTCCGAGGGCAGGGCTTTCTTCTGCCTGAGATTTCTTCCTGCAGCCCTTCCCTAAGGCAATAGACACATTCCTGCCAGCTGCATTAATAACTTCCACCTTGTGACACCGAAAACACTGGGGAACTGTTTAAAAGCGTCCTGTCTTGTACAGATACACACAGAAGCAGCAATTACAGTAACAAGAGGAATAATAATAACAAGAAAAAGCACAAGGTGGAAAAAGTCTGTGGAGGAAGTGTGGGCGAAAGCATTTTATCAGGTTCCTAGCATGAAATATTCCCAAGCAACAGACACTGCGAAGTGGGAGAAATCCAGAACTTCTACAGCATTTTGTCTGAACGCCCTCGCAAAGAGAAAGCAGTGGGCTTCAAGACAGGTATCAGGATTTTGCCAATAATAAAATATACCTTTAGTTTTAAATGTGTTTCTTAACCCACTGTGTCACTTTGGCTCTATCTGAAGGGTTGAAAACTAAGTGCTTTTTTCTCTGCTTGTAATCCATTTCCTGTGGGTTGTTATTAGCACCTATCTGTCTGGCAGGAACTACCCAGTTACCGCGTTGATCAAACCTTACCTTTGGATGTTATCCAAAATTGCTTAACAGAAAAGAATCCAACTGGCATATCTCCTATGAGGAGAATGAGCAACATTTCCTTGAAGAATTTACTCAAAGTAGGCGTGTGTATTATGTGCCAAGAAAAGAAGGAAATTTGATGCTAGCATCAGTTGATGAACATTAGCATATATTCTTTATGTGGTACATGCTAAAGGCAATGCTGGCAAAAACATGCAGGAAAAAAAAAACATTAAAAAAATCATTGTTTTAAGGTCTTTCTGCCTCAATTTAGGGAGAGAAAATGACAAGTTCTTCAATTGATTTTTTTTTTCTTTTCCCCGTGAAGAATGGAAATACTTCAAGAGATGGGGGTTTTCTTGTGAATGTCTAAACACAACATTTGCACTGATTTCAAAATCTGTATGTTTCAGCGTGTCCAACGCAGCCAAAATATTTTGCTTAAAGAAAGCAGGCATGTGTTACTATTTTCAATGCGTTTCATGTAAAAAAAAAGTCAGTAATGAAGCGTTCGCTTTGTTGATCCAGTTCTCACTGAGTCATTAAGGGCAGGGAACAGAAGAGACAGAAGGATATGAGACATCTTTGAACGCAGCATATACAGCGGACTACTGAGAAATTCAAACCCAAACGTCTAGACTAAGTGCAAAAAAACTTGAAGGGAAAGAAAATAAAAACAACACACAGAAACACAACTTGGAACGAAGTCAAAAAAACAGGATGAAATGAAACAAACCCCCAGGCTGCGTTGGAGATGTTTTGATGCAGTTTGGCAGATCAGCTATATGCTCACTTCCTGCTCCCAGGCCAGCTGTGAAGATCTCTCTCTGAATTATGGACTCATAGAATCGTTAAGGTAGGAAAAGGCCATTAATACCATCTGGTTCAACCGTAGACCTCTGGGAAGGTTTCCTCCCAAACCACCACCCCCCTTTCCTCCAGGGGACAGGTGCCACGGTTTATTTTAGTGGGCAGCACCTCCTCAACCTACGTTCCCTTGTCTTCAGTTCTCTTGCCCCTCTGAAAACATAGCAGCATGCCCCTAATAAATAAATAAATAAATAAATAAATAAAATCAAAATAAAATTAAAAAATCCTGTGGTTTTGACACTTGTCCTCAAATTCCATGTCTGCTTTGACAGAATTACATTTTTTGGAGGAGTACTCGGCCTGTGATTTTCCATTAGTTCTGTCAAACAGTTCACAGACCTTGGTCTCTGTAAAATGGGGCTCTCAGATAGGGTGAGAAAAGCTCACATGAGGGGAAATCACTAAGGGCAGGCTTGTCAGCAGGTTTGAATCCATCCTCTGAACAGAAAGAAGTGAAAAAACAAATTTGGCATTTTGGAGCCCAAACTAGCAGGCCTGATCTGAAATGACATTGCAGTTTTCTTTAGCTAGTAGGAGCTGATTTCTTTCCTCCTTATCCAACACGACCTTGAAACATACCTTAAGCTTAAGTAGGTTGTTGTAGTCTTCGGGGGCCTATACTAGCTTTCCACTAATGGAAACCAAGTTTTGAACTCCAGGGGATGAAATGAGGTGAACAAAATTGTGTATCTATCTAGTCACAGCTGTAAGATTTAGGGCATACGAAACAAAAAAATGGTGCAAAAGGGACACCAAGAACCTGTTTGAAGTTCAAGGTAGCAGAATATGTATAGGGCTGGATCTGAAGAAGTAGCTTAAATAAGAGTCTTGTTTCTTGTTTTTGGTTTTTGTGGTTCAGCAAGGTGCAAGGATGACAAATACTTAATAGCAGACCACTTCTGCCACAAAGCATGGCCATGGCTAAAGAGGCTGGATGATGTCGAAGGGTACAAAACAGCAGTCATATGTGGTCCTTCAGTGCATCACGTGGTAAGTAGAGGAGCTAATATGACTCTGACACCAATTCTTAGTCTACAGCCCTTTGTAGGATGGCATTCCTTAGCAGTGTCTCTCACCTGGGGGTAAAGGGAAGGAGACCAGACATCCTTGGACAACCACATGCAATTTCTCACCGTCATCAAAAAAGTAACCAGCTGTCACTCATCTGGTTTGCTCCCTTCTGAGGTTACAGCCCTACAACAAAAGCAATTCATCAACAGACCACTCATAAACTCACATTCAACAAAAATAGTTCATTTTTCTACCGCTGGAAGAGCTGCAGCAGTTTCAGTCCCCTGATGATCTATACCACTGCAGCACTTCCTTGGGCTCAAGTTAGTGGTGGACCATTTTAACTTAGTAAGATACTCTGTAAGCTTAGTAAAATACAGAAGGCACTTCACCTTTTTATTGAATGGGAGGGCAGGAGAGGCAATAGTACACACGCTACTTTTTGTAACCTACCCTCAGTTTGCAGTATCCCAGTGCTCTGTATGAAAGCCTAAAACCACAAAGAAAATGAACATATATTTAAATATTAGCAGTGCAATTTCCTTTCTTCTGTTCTTGTGAATTCCAACTTGATGTTTGCACTTACCAAGTAGACAACCCAAAGGTTGCCTTCTGTGATCAAACCTGGCAGCTGCGAACTCAAAAGGGCAGGCACACAGAAAAGCTGGAGAAAAGATCAGTGTGGCTTCACATGGTGATGGAGCTTCTTTTCCTATCTCCTCTGAAATTCTGTGCTTTCACATACCCTACTGTTGTACAGCAAGAGGAAAAGAAAACAATCAGTGAAAGTGTTGAGTTTGTAGGAGACACGAGATCCACTTGAAGAGCCATGAGACGCTGGCTGGTGTTCAAGGGTATGCTGGTAACTCGTAAACTGAGAAGCCTCCAAGTGAACACTGTGTGTTAATAAAAGGCTTGGTTGGAGGGCAGAGAAATGTGCTGCTCCTTAAGGCGTGGTGCCCCCAGAAATGGATGCACACGGTGTCCACCTCTGCTCTGCCTTTAATGCAGGGCCCATGTCCAAGCCCACGTCCCAGCCACGGATCGCATCCCGACCCATGCCTTGAAGGACTACGTCGCAGTCCTTGCCCTACACTCGGGACCAGCTGCTGCGCCCAGACCCCCCAGTAAGGGGCTGCTCAGTAGGGCTGCCCCTTATGCTCTCACCTCCTCGGGTCCCTCCTGCGAGGGTAAAGAGCTCGAAGCTCCTTCGATGAGGGCCGGGGGTCGCGGGCCGGTCCGGTCCGCGGCAGCTGGGAGGCGGCGTGAGGAGCCGTCCGCACTCCCCGGGAGCTCCCCGACAGCCCGAGCGGCCGCAAACAGGCTTAAGGCCGAGGCGATTTGCGCGTAATCCCCGGCACGGCCCGGGGAAAGGGGCGCGGTGCCGGGGTGTGGGGGGGGGGGCAGCTCGGTTAGACCCCCGGGAGACGGGGGAGGGAGCGGAGCTGGGAGAGGAGGGAGGAGGGGGCCCGGAGGGGGCAGGGGGAGAAAAGGGAGGAGCGGCAGGGGGTGGAGGGAAGGAAGAGCGGCGTGGGGAAGCGCTACGCTCCCGAGCGGCGGAGGGAGGGAGAAAAGGAGGAGGCGGTGGAACGCGCTCGGCTCCGTGGGCCGAAGGTCGGGCGATGGAGGAGCACGGGGAGCCGTCTTACAGCGGCCGCAGCCCCGCCTGGGAGGAGCTGGTAGGTACATGCGTGCCTCGCCGCGCGCGGGCATTTCCTCCTTTCCTTCCTGCTCCCTGCTGTGCGGTTCGGGCTGTCATCCCGCTGCGCGTCCCCGGGGCCGGAGTTGGGCGTCCTGACCTGAGCGGCACCCGGAGCCCCGCCGCCAACTTTGCCGAGAGGACCAGAACGGGATGGGGGTACGGAACGCCGCCGTAGCGTCCGGAGAACGAGAGAGATACTCTTCCAGGGAGATAGACTTTTCCTATTGTTATTTGTTCCTATTTAATTTCCGCAGCCGGGCTGGGAATCGCCTCCAAGCTCTCCCCGTGGCGGAGCCGAGCCGGGGTTCGGGTGCCTCCAGAGGGGGTTCCCCGAGAAGGCTGCCGCTTCGGTATGCTGAAGCCGCTGGGAGACTCTCCTCCCAGCGAAGGAAATCGTGTCACCGGCATCCTCCGCCGGCGATAACATCAGATTTCCCCTGTCGGCATCCCGCCGTAGGGCTTTTCTCCATTGTGCAAACACACGCACACGCACGGCGGACGGGGAGGGCTATTAATAGCCCCTGGGTCGCCGCTCTTGAGGTCTCGGGCTGCCCGAGAGGTCAGGGCTGGGCTGTCCCTGGCCATGAACTCTGTGGGGCGATGGAAGCATGCACCCATAACACGGCCACGCTTCCCTTCAGGTGGCTGTGCCTTTTTTTTTCTTTTTCTTTTTCTTTTTTTCTTTTTTTTTTTTTTTTTTTTTTTTTTTTTTTTTTTTTTTGCCAGCCTGCACGGGTCCAGCCCCTGGTTCTATTTCTAAAGGCATTTTTTAACAGTGGAGTGGGAGAGCCACACTTTGCCTGTCCCAGTCTGCACACTCCCAGGAATCTCCCTGGAGATACCTGCTGTTGACCCGCTGCCACCCTACCAGGATTTGCAACCCTGTGCCTTCCCAAATACATTTTGACCAGCCTCGTTTTCTAGTGAAGTTGAACCCTTTGCTGCCCTCCGTGGTCCTCAGCTGAAGACGTGGCCGCAGATGCAGCTGTGATAGGGAGCACAGCTGGATGTGAGACGTTCCAGCAATATGGAGCTGACATCCACAGGCAGCGCACAAAGGCAGACCCTAGATTTTGCCTGGAGAGATGAAAATGCTGTGGGAGGAAAACAGCGAATCCCGTTCCCCTGAACGTGTTGTCCTACTGAACAGTGACATTTACATTGGCTGCCAAACTCAGCTGAAAGTCGGGAGGCAGACAGATAGCAGCCCCTCCATATGGCTGGAGCAGCCCAGCCTGCTCCCTTCTGGGTGCAGATAAACACAGAGAACTTCCTTTCTTCCCACCCCCCCACCCCCCCAATCTCCCCCTCCTCCCATAAAGGAGAGGATTTGGGTCATGTTTATCATTCTGTGTCTGCATTTGTTCAGGGTACACACATGAATGCAGTTTTAAGGCTAACCACTGCATTCGTTTCCTTCTACAAGTCTCCAATTTCAGTCCAAGCACTCAGTCCTCTACCTGGTAACCTGCTGGTAAAACACAGCATCTTTGAGGCAAAACTGCATCGTTCTTCTTCATATAGATCATATCAATCACCTTCTTCGACATGGGCTTTGTCTTGAAATAAGGACAAAGGGAGATTTAGATGAGGAACTGCATGGGATAGGAAAAATGTGCCCAAAACTGTCATTCTCTCCCTTAACATAGAAAAGGAACAACAGGGTGAGACAAACCATTGCAGGTTTGGAATCTGTGCACAGTGATTACCTCTGTGAGTTGCTGGGTGTTGGTGAGGAGTGCTGTCAGGGCTGAGCTCGACCATGCGAAATTTAGGATATCTATAAAATCCTGACCTTAATTCCCAGCTCACTGTTGAACGGAGAACATCTTCCCACTTCAGTAAGAGCCGAACAGAAGTATCAGCATCAGGCTCATCCTCTGCCTTTCAAAGGGACATTCAGGGGCACTGCACTCCAGACCCACGCAATCTAGGCTACAAAGTCCTATACCTTTCTTCCACATCTCATATGGGACCCCAGCCTTACCTTCACCTTTTGAGGTGGAGGAGAAAAACTTCTTATCCTCCAGCTGGCAGATGCCAAAGTGACCTAGAGAAAAAGAGGTAAATACGCCTATTATGGTGGGAATCAATATTAGAGCTGGAAGCATTTCTGTTCCTGGAATCAAATGATGCGTTAATCTGCATTATAAGCCATAATCTGCAGAGCAGCTGGAGTGTGTATTTGGGTTTTTGGTACCTCGCATATGCTTTTTAGTGATGTGTACTCTGTTATCAGCACTGGAAGCTGTTTGGTGGAAAGATTCTTACAGTGCACATATTTACCCAGCACTTTGGAATTCTTTGAATATAAAGGGCAGACCATCAGCTGATGTTAATTGCCGTGACACAAATGATGTCAGTGGGGCTGTTTTGTGTCAGTTGAGAATCTCTCTTTCAGTGCCAACCTTTCTTTACTCTTTCCACCAGCTTCCTTTAGTAAAGCAATTTAAGGGAATTATTAAGAAATGTGAAATTGAGAATGTGAAAGACATAATTCACACGCGTATCACATGTGCTCTTCAGGAGCCTGACTGGAGGATTAGTCTGGAGGATTTCAGTGGTGCCACTCATACCACGGCATCCATACCTGTGTTCCTCAAGATGAAATCTGCTATAAGGTGCTTCTCACATTAAGCCTGGCTTCAGCCAGTTGGGTAAGATGTAAAGATAGAGTCAGCTGGCAGTCCTCATCCAAAGGAAGTCCCAGGGACACCTCAGGCAGCATTACCTGGGCAAAGAGCAGAGCTGGATCTTAAGCATGTTTTAACTCCTTTGAAAAACAGAACAAGTGAGGAGCACTGAGAACTTGAAAACTTTCCTTGTGCATGGAAAATATGTATAACAACTTTACGCATGACTGCAAATGAATAACTCTTTTATACTTTATACAGCACAGCGTTTGGCTGGTGTTAACACCAAACTCGTTTGGTTTTCTCTGTTTTGAGGAACACTGAAAACTTCAGATGGTGGCGGATTTTAGCACTTATGGTTTTACAAATGCGTACTTTGTAGATCCCGTATTCACCTCAGACTGTACTTGGGGGGCATTTGTTATTTGCTGAGTACGGTTGCTCCCACTGAACTCTCCGCCTTAAGTGAGGAAACACTTCTAGTGTTTCAGTTCTGAAGTTAATCGAGACAAAGTGGAAGAGATCTGAGTCAAAGTGACAAGCACCCGGTGCCCTCTCCCTTGTCACTGGAACTGGATGGCCTTTAAGGTTCCTTCTAACCTAAGCCCATTCCATGATTCAGTGTTTTTTGGGTTTGGGCAGACAGTGAAGAGGAGGATGGCAATGGGGACGTCCATGTGGGGATGGATGACACGCTTTGCATGATGACACGCTGTGCAGGAGCTAGGGCTCATAGTTAAGCTCTGAATGTGAACAGAAGCTGGAGAGCCATGTTTATCGTCCATTCGCATTGCCCATTTCACCTACAGCCACTCATTGAACAGCATTTGAAATGAAGCACAGTGAAGGAAACCTGAGCTGTCTATGCAGATACCTAAGGAGATCTGCAGCAGACAAGTTACGTTTTATGCTTTAGAAAAAAAAATCTCCCAATGTGCAAACCTCAGGTCACCAATTGAGCCAACTTTGTGACCTCCCTAAATTCAAAGGCGTTCATCCGGAACTGCGGATAATGTTTCTCCTTTTCACCTTAATTCTGGAAGGTGGGTGAAACGCCTGCTTGTAAACAGTTTTGCACTCAGCTTTGCACAGGATCCCAGTCATGTGGTAGAGACACAGCTGTCACATGTACCGATATTTTGAATGCTTTTTTAGCATGGGAACAAATTTAACAGTAATAGTGTTGTTCATCTAAGCGCTGCTTAATTCAGTTGAATTAAATGGAGTCAGCGAGCGTTGTATTCTGTTAGCACCCAATGTTCCTCAAATCGCAGTCCCAGCCCTATGCAAACTGCATTAGCATTAATTAGCACACTGTCTTGTCACCTAGTCGCAGTATTCAGTTGTCATTTACCTTCAGAAAGCTCTGCTAGCTGTGAGCCATGTTCTGGGGTAATTTGCTGTTCTGAAGTTGCTGGGGAGGAGGAAGAGGAAGGAAGGCAGCTAGGGTGACAAAGTGTCTGTAAGCTTCTCTCTTGCTCTTTGTATCTGTGTCCTAAGTGAATTCAGTGCACACTTGCTCTTGCCCAAGTTTTATCTTACATTTTTGAGGCAGAACTCTTTCAGGGAAAGAACGAGACGAGTGAGGAAAAGGAGCTATGCGAGAACTTCATCTAGTTTCAGATGTGGTACTGGTGGCAGGACTTAGGCCCAGTTATTACCGTAATAAGAAACACAGGTACTCACAATTCCTTTAAAACGTACCCTAAAAGAAGTGATCCTACATAGAGAAGAGCAGTAGAACCTCATGGAAGTGCCTGATTTGGTGACACCTATGTGGGATACAACACCCGTGTGGCTTCATGCAGATCTTTCATTTCACCTACTGGAAATGAAAGTCCCAATGAAGGAAATAGGATATTCCAGTGTATGAAATCCAGCTCACAGCACGGTATTCACAGCATAGGATGTGCTCTGTGTTATGGTTTCGCTTTTGTTTCTCATTTGTTGCTCTGGATTTCGGTACTGGGGCACTTGTATTAGCTCATTGAGAGATGGAAGTTCCCTTTTGAGAAATATAAATAGAATTGTGGGAACAGAGAAGCCACAAGCATTGGTCGCTTTCTCATCTTTAATCCACTCCGTGCAGTTGGGAGCCGTGTGTTTTATTTGGTATTGCTGAGACTGAATGCTTATTTGGAACACTGACTACACGCAAAGCCACAGTCATTTCAGAGCTCCACAATTCAGAACATGTGGTGACATTTCGAGATCCCGGGAGCTGCCAGATCTGCGACGAGAAGGGAAAAGCCACCAGAGGACCGCTCTTATGTGAAGACAATAACTTCGAGCAAAGCAATACAAAAATTAAACGGATGTGGGAGAACAACCACGTCCCGTTTCGAGTCGATGCATCCCGTTAGGCACGCTGCTTTCTTGCTTTTCGGTGCCGGACGCGCGGAGCACAGCCGCACACCTCCCCTCTGCACCTGCACAGGTGCCCCATCCCCATGCCAGGCCGCTGGGCTGAGCCCCCCGCACAGTGCCCACGCGTGGCTGCGGGCTGGGGCCCGTTCCCCTCCCCTCCGCGTCCCCGGGGATGCCGCCCGCTCGGCCCCTCAGCTCTCGCCGCCCGCCCGCTCCATCCTCAGCCGCGCTCGGCGCTCCCCGCGGCGATGAGGGCTCGGGGGCCGGACCTTCCCGTCCCTGCCCGTTCCGAGCCGGGAACGGCTGCCGGCGGGCCGGGCCGTCGGAGGGGGCGGCGGAAGATGGCGGCCAAGCGATCGGCCCCACCAGCACCCGGCTCTTCCTCGCCTCCGTCCCTCCCCCCCGCACCGCCCCTTTCCCCACCCTCCCGCGGCCGCCTCCTCCCTCCTCCCCGGGGAGGGGAGCGGCAGCGGCTGCCCGGGCTGAGCCGGGCTCGTGTGCTCTCTCTCGGCAGGAGTCCGGGAAGATGGCCGGGGCCGAGGCAGGGATGAGCGGCGCCGGGATCCAGCAGCAGCCCCAGCAGCAGCCCCAGCACCCGGCGGCAGCGGCGGCGGCGGCGGACGAGTCGTCGGACAGCGAAGGGGAGCACGAGGGCCCCCAGAAACTCATCCGGAAAGTGTCCACCTCGGGCCAGATCCGCAGCAAGGTAAGCGGCGAGGGGACAGGAGCCCGCCGCCTCCGCCCCGGCACCCGACGGCGCGGCCCGTGGTCGCATCCCGCTGCCCCTCGGCTGAGGGGAGGCAGCCGTGCCTCTTCCTTCCTCCCCTCCCCTCCTCCCGGCCAGCTGCTGCGTCCACATCTGTCCCCGCTGGCAGGAAGCCCCCCGGGGCGGCGGGGCCGGAGGGGAAGCCGCCTGCCCGTAGCCGGCAGCCGCCCTGCCCTGCCCGCGTCCTGGGTGTGGGGGAAACAGCCTCCCTCTGCTCCTCTTCCTCAGCCGCATCCCGCCCGGCCCCGCTCGCTTCTCCTGCCCCGGCCCCGAGGAGCTCCGCGAGGAGTTGTGCGGCCCCGCCGGTGGCTGTGGGTCTGTAAAGCGGCTGTCAAAGTTTCGGGGCAGTGCGTTTTTTCGGCCGGCTCGGGCTGCGGAGCCGCCCCGGTGGGATTGCTGGCTTAACTTGGTGATGGATGGTGCGCTTGCATCACGGTTTTTCCTGTAAAATGAACTTCGGCGAGCACGTGTTGAAGGTTGCTTTTCTACCGAGACTTAAGCCAAGTAGAAGGATCTCTTGCAAAACACGGTCCAAGTTCCATGGATGCACAAAGCCCGGCTGAGGTCATCCTCGGGCAGATGGCACGTAGGGCTTGGGTTCTGCACCACGACTCGTGTGTTACTTCCTTTGCCTAGCCAAGTTTGTGAGGATCTGCTCTCGTGTTTGTGTGGGTTTGTGCCCTTCATCCCTAAAGCTCCACACACTACAACCAAAGTGCCTCTCGGCAAGAAGCGTTCGTTGCTTAGCGTTGGCATTATCCTGCTTATGTGTAAGGTGCTAAGCCTTTTTTTCCAAAAACCTTCTTGTTGTCACTGCCTTTAGTTGCTAAATGTAACTTTGCAGTTGTGATTTATGTTACCTGCTAGAATAACCCTTCAGCCAGGCCTAACTGCTGTTACACTGCGCTGTAAGTTGCATACAAACTTCCAGCTTTAACATCGCTCCTCTGTGGTGATCTTCAAAAAGGCAGAACTGGTGCTGTGTCATCTCTGCTGGTGCTAGGTGTGTGCAAGGCTTTGCTGTCCTTAGTGGATGATGCTTGTGTAAAGAAGATGTGAGGATTCTGTTCTCTTGAAACAGTTTTGTGGGCATGGGATCCCAGTGAGTTCTTACCCAGCGTTGTGGGTTGGTGGGATACTGAGGGCTGCAAATGAATGGCAAGATGGTCTTCTTTTAAGGCAATTCTGAATGTGATACTTTCGCTTATCTTAGTTTGCATCCCAGTTGTATTTCTGTGAATTGGATTTATATGGGAAACGCTAACTACAAGGGGGAATGGTTTTAAACTTAGACAGGGGAGGCTCAGGTTAGGTATTAGGAGGAAGTTTTTCACTTAGAGGGTGGTGATGCACTGGAACAGGTTGCCCAAGGAGGTTGTGGATGTCCCATCCCTGAAGGCATTTAAGGCCAGGCTGGATGTGGCTCTGGGCAGCCTGGTCTGGTGGTTGGTGACCCTGCACATAGCAGGGGGTGGAAACCAGATGATCATTGTGGTCCTTTTCAACCCAGGCCATTCTATGATTCCATGATAAAATGTTGCTTTACTTGTTAAAATTTACAGTAACGTGCAACTGAGAATATAAGTAACTTTTCATTTAAGTAAAAGTGATATATCTGTGTTAAGGACGAGACCCGCGTTCAATAATTCAGATGCACTTTATTTTATAACTCAGGATGCATTATTTAAAAGTAGCTGTATTTAGACTGACAACTCCCATTTAGTTTGAGGGTGTTTCATGTTTGCTGTTGCAGTAGTTGGTGATCAGTGGTTATACGAAACCACGAGAGCAAGGAACGTCAGGGAGCTGCTCTTTCACCCAGCCAGTCCCTTTCATTCAAATTAGATTTGTTAAGCTTCACTTACTCTGTGAATGTGTTTGTAAGCTAAGGTTTTAATTAAGTGGATGGGGTTTGTCTTACAGCTAAGAATAGACTTTTGAAAGAACCTGAAACATGCACGTTACATTTATCATTGATGTTCATGGGCCATTTAACACTGTGCTGTTTTTCTCTGGAGGTTGCTTATATACTTACTCGAGACGTTTCAGCAGTGTGGCGTTGATGCCTTAGCATGCAGCTGCACCAGAAAGTCTCTGCTGGCAATTGTTTTTATTTTACTTAAGGAAGATGTTATTTTTAGATGTTTTGGTACAGTTGATCATTTGTGAAAGCTCCCATATGGCGATTCTTTGCAGACAGAGCCCTTCAGTGGTGGATTTTTCTAGCGTCTATATAATAAGATTTAGCAAACATACGTATAATAGCAAAACCTTTTCCCTGGCATAAACACAGTTTTGATGATTTCTAACACCTGTAGTGCTCAGAGTGTATTTTTAAGCCTTGTCCTCTTGCTCCTACATCTGAACAAACGATTACTTGACCACGGGTGAAAATCAGAATGGGAAAGTGAAAGGAAGATGTAATTACACTGAAATTCATTGCTTTTCATATGCTGATCACATGCTCACTGCTCTGCTTAGAAATCTTTAGTCCAGTTTTGCTTACTCACATTGAGTAGTAACTTCCTCTGTGAATGGCTTGGCTGAGTTTAGTGGAACTGCTTTTACAGCATTGTGATACTTGAAGTGGATGGGTGGTAGGGCTCAACATCTCTGTAACTTTTAGTCTTGATCTACTTGTAAATTGCACATACTTACTTCTCATGTTTTTAGAGTATACGGAAGGCTTGCCTTGTGCTGAAATATGGCCACTATTTATTTCCCTGGTACAGAAAACCTGAAGATCAGCACGCTCTAGTTCTGCAAAATGAGGAATAAACAAGTATTCAGTGGGACAACACCTTGCCTGTATCTAGGAGCTGTTCACTCAAGCTGCACGCTTGTTTATAGGGTGATGCTGTGGCAGTAGAGGAGCCAGGACTGAAATTATTTAGCACTTCTATGAGACTAAAGACAGCATCTTTCATCCTTGTCCTGGAAGCTGTTGAATTGTGGAGCACATATGTGTTCCCGGAGGAAACGCAGCAGAACAAACAGGTGGCAAGTGCCCTGTGAAGTCTGAGTGGCTCAGGGCTGAAATCCCAAATGGGAAGTGTTGAAACCATTCTTGACTTCATGATGTTTACTGGCAGTTTTTCCCTGTCTCTGAGACCTCAGTATCTGGTATGTAAAAAGTGTCCTGGTAAAATTGTTTTTTGGAAAAGACAAGGCCAGGCTGGATGTGGCTCTGGGCAGCCCGATCTAGTGGCTGGTGACCCTGCCTGTGGCAGGTGAGTTGAAACTAGATGATCATTATGGTCCTTTTCAACCCAAGCCATTCTATGATATGTGTGTTTTATTTATTTATTTTTGGTGAAGATATTTAAAAATCTGTATTCAGTTTTGAAGCAGTGTGTATGATGATGTACCAGCAGTGTTGTACTGGGGAATCAAATCATGCAAAGCTCTTGCATCTGCATCAAATTCAGCTTCTTCACTTTCAAAGACGCTGGTTAAAGCAGTCAGTGCTCGTGCCTTTCTTAAACAAAGCAGATGATTTCATTTCTTCGGGGTTGCAGTATGAAAACTCTGCCTGTCATCAGCTGGGTCCTACTTTCTTTAAAGTTAATTGCTGTAGTGCGAAGTACATTCCTCACAAAGATGGTCTTGTTTTAGTCATTTATAGCTGGAACCTGTTGAGAAAGGAAGGCTCAGATTAGAACTGACAGTGTTGTTTTGGTTTTTTTTATTCAGCTTGGGGGCAAGCATGAGAAAATAGATGAAGTGATGCCTGGATGCTTGGAAGCAGAATAGTTAGATGGGCCTGGTGGTAGTTTCTGCTCATGTCTTGAGTACTCTGTGCTAGGAAGTGGATATGGAAAACAGCACTTTCATTGCTGACCTGGCTTCCCACTGTAATGGCTCCATGTGCTGTTAATGGGAAAGCTCTGTTGGATGTGTGTTTTTCTCTCCAATTTGCTATTGGGTATCTCACCTGTGCTTGTTTTTAGATAAAGCAGACATTCTGGAGCAGGGAGTATGAATTTGGAAATGCGAGAAAATAAGGTTTAGTTACTGAGAGAAACTCACCTGTAACACATCAAGGAGAATGCTGTCTTCACTTCCTTCACCCAAAATATTTTGTGTTGTTTGTTTGCTTGTTAAATCATGGAATTACTATGATGTGGGGGAATTTCTGAGTTATGGCTATGTTATAATTAGGAGAGGTAATAGTATTATTTAACTAAATTGCAAGAGTTATTACTAGAATTATCTTATCTTAGGTCTTTATATATTATTTTTTAGATACCTTAAATCATTATGGAGTAATAAAAGTGAATTAATTAAATTCCTACTGTGTTTTTATTGCTCTTAGTGGATAACACCAGCCATTTAGGAGCTGAGCCTTCAGAAAGTTTCTAAACTCTTCCATATGGTGACATTTCACAGTGCCAAATCCCAGTAGTCACTTCCTGTTTGTTTCTGGTATATGTTTCTATTCGATTACTATAGCTTGTTAATTCCCCTAAACATAATTGCTATTGTTGGTGTTGATGCTAGACCTCATGAACGTCATTCTCTGCAATGTCATCTGCTTTATATAGCTTTTATTATCTGGTAGGTGCTGATTTACTCAGCTAAGTCGTGGTCGATTTCTTTCTGATTAAGGAAACATGACTTATGTACCAGAAGTTGTCATGAGAATGCCACGGTAGCAAATGTAACCCTAATCTGGATTCTGTATGTGCATTAGGATTGTCTGAATCTGCATGGCTTCAAAATGCATTGTAATTTGCAATTTATTTTACAACTGCATTAACAGAAGTAGTGTTGCTAAACTATATCACTGTGTTTGTACAGCGTGGGGTGGAACTGGAATGACCCAGTGCATAGCAATCATCTTTGACTTCTTGGCACCTGATAGCACCTACTCAAAAGATTTAAGAGTGCTGCAGGGTATTTGTCTGCACTATTATGTTTTCCATAATTTTCATTCTACA